TCTATAGCCGGTTCATACCTAAATGCGCATCCCTAATGAAACTGTTAACCAATCAGCTTCGTGGAAATGCGAAATCAATTAGTTTAGACGACATAACCCGTAAAGCATTTTCCACATTACTGCTGAAACAGTGGCTCGCACTTTCGTCGAACGATGGGTAGCAAATTTCGGCTGCCCTTCCACAATCACTACAGACCGCGGACGCCAGTTCGAATCTGGACTTTTCCGTTGTCTGACCTCACTATTAGGAATCACGCGCTTCCGAACGACCGCCTACCACCCACAAGCAAACGGGTTGGTAGAACGTTTTCATCGACAATTAAAAGCTTCATTATCAGCTTCAAACGTTTCACAGTGGACAGACGCTCTTCCACTCGTCTTGCTAGGTATCCGCAATGCAGTGAAAGCTGACATTGGATACACGGCATCTCAACTCATTTACGGAACGACACTCCGACTCCCAGGAGAATTCGTGGATCCTTCAGCTTCTTCATTGAACATGGATCTAAACTCTTACACGAGTAGGCTTACAAACGCTATGCGTTCAGTTAAACCTGCTCACACTCGACCTCAATCAACTGATGTTTTCGTTCAACCCGAATTACAACATAGTACACACGTCTTCGTTCATCGAGACTCACATCGACGACCCCTCGAATCAGCATACGAAGGACCCTTCAAAGTTCTTCAACGCGAACCTAAGTACTATGTAGTTGATAAGAACGGTACGAAAGATAGCATCAGTATCGATCGACTCAAAGCTGCGTACCTAGAAGGAAACCCTAGCTACGTCGATTTTCCTTCGGTACAAGCAAACGACACAGCTACTACACTCGTAGTACCCTACACGACAACCGACACACAACTTGATACTTCGTCAACGTCGATAGAAAAACCTAAAACAACGCGTTCTGGAAGACGAGTCAGATTTCCAGAACATCTTAACGAATATTGCACGTAGGACATAAGCTTTATCTTGAATTACCCTTCCATAGTTCATTATAAAAAATTTTTAATATGATAATTTTTTATTTATATAAAAAAACCAAAAACAAAACATTTTTATCTTTTTTTTGAGCGTATATATATATATACTTTTTATATATAAAAAAACCCAAAAACAAACCATTTTTTTTCCAATCGGTTTTACGCTGTTTGTAAGTGTATCAGTTTATTTTTTCCGCTCATCTTGTGTCCTTACGCAAGTACGAGTGTATTTTTCGACATGCACTCACACGTTTTATTTTTCCTCTTTTCCAGGACGGCTGGATAAGAACGACGAAGTTTCGCAAGAAACCGAAATTTTCATTGTACTATATTTCTTTATTGCTATGTTGTACATTTTGGTCCCATAGTTTAAGGAAAGACGACCAGATGCTGCTAAACGAAGCAAGCTATCAGAAGAGTGTTTACCAGCGACAAACTCGTTGGGTTTAAACTTCTGGCTGGTCACGTCTTAAGGGCATCACTACCTCACTAGGGGGGAGTGATCTGTAGCTGTAAATAATTCCCCAAAATCAATAGTTCATTAAGTGTTCGACATTGGATGCTGACCACGTGTTTAAGTGGACTTGTTTAGCTGAAGGCTTTCGGTCATGCATCCGTACCAGATCACGTTTCAACACGGCGTGGGACACAGCTCCTACGTTTCATTAGCCAGCTCATAGAAAAGGTCCTCGATAGATTGGTAACGAATCAAATATATCTTTCCTGCCTCTTCTCGTCTGACTTCTGATTTCTATCTGACTGGGAACAATCGAATTTAGAAGGTGCTACTGGTATCTAGTTGTAAAACTAGAATATCCGTTGCATCATCAACTTTGTATACCGTATCCGTGCGTCCTTAACTTGAGTACTGCATACAAGTGCCTCGCTCCTGTTTAAAAAGAGACGTGGAGTCATTGGAAAAGGTTCAGAGAACAGCAACTAAGCTGATTCTCGGAATAGCGAAGCTGCGGTATGATGGTCGACTAGCTAAGCTAAACCTATTCCTGTTATCATATCGAAGAACTAGAGGTGATTTGATTACCGTCTACAAATTACAAAGTGATGAATTTGCACCCGATATGTCCTCACTTCTCTAGTATTAATTAACAGAGCACTTACGGGGACACTCCAAAGAAGTTTACAAGTCCAGAACATACTACTTGTCAGCTGACTATCGACTTTCCCATCGAATCGTCAACAGGTGTAATTCATTACCTCAGTGCGTGGTTGAGGTCCCATCCATCGACTCTTTAAAAAGAAAGTTGGATCAACTGAGAGACCATCATCGCCAGGACTGACACAGTCCATCAAGCCTCATATCCTTTCGTAACTGAAACTGACTAAAATTAGTGTAGTGGAGTGTCCAGACTTTCGTCTATTATGCATCACTGAAGTCTTTGAGGCGTACAGAATCAGAAAAAACAGGGGCAAATAAATCAATCATTTTATACAGATTCGTTACAACTATATTAAATATATTGTATATTGGATACTGTACATTGGATTTCGAGACTAGATGTTATGCCAACAGCATTTGAACATTTTTGAATAAAGTAGTTTTAAGTACTGTACATTTCTTTATTTGTTTGTTTTCGATGAATCGAATTCCAACTTATTTATATTTGGTTTGTTTGTTGGGAACTTAAACATAACTGAGATTACTACGTCTTAAGATGTTTACCACGAGTATTTCCTATCATGGCGTCTTCTATTGGGAATGGATTTACAACCTACGACAGTGATTGTTTCTGTTTTGTAACCATATTCGTGAAACAATTTACATAATATGAAGGTTCGACATCTTTACATCTTGTTTCTCTAGCGATTTCAACAACATTCAGTGGCGTCCTGAATATCATGTACGGTATATGAATCCAAAAAAAACAAAGAAATAATGACAAATCTTGAGAAAAGTCAGGCAATATTACTTAAGCAACGCTAATGCCAGTTAAGACGTTATCGTAATCAAGTGTCACTTTTCCTGCACAAGGTAAGGAAATAATGAGACCTTTAACACAAATAACTGATGTGAGGAGAAAAGTCTCCGTATTCGCGCTTTTTCAGTATTTGATAAGTACTGTTGTCATTGTTTGACATTTGAAAAAGCAAAAAGTCTGCAGTTTATGGACGAAATCATCATTCCATACGAAATCGAAAGAGTAGACTATATACCAAAGTGATTGACTAATAAAAAATTAAAAATATCCCTAGGTTGAACGTTCATGTGATAAGTACCACATCATTTAGAGTCCTTATCGTCTTATCTGTTCTAAAATGCAACAAACAGCAATGGTTATAATGAGGTCTTATATAAAACGCTTGATAATTTTGTACTTAAAGATGAGGTAAAATCAAAGTAATGTGAACATTTTCAAGAAACTGAACCTTCACTGGAAGGCAGTCTGTCAGGATTAACAAAGGTTTATCAACCTACCACCCTTATTACTGAAAACTGAATGTTGAACACAACCTCTCATGTTATCTCGAAAACGTAAAGAAAAGGTTTGTTAGTGAAAATTATCATTTATATTACCCATCTTCCTTGATAACTCTTGTTCAGTCTTTCTCTCGTATGATGTTTGAAACTTTGAGTTATGCTGTATATATCTTCAGAAAGGTGTTTTTCTGCGACGGCTGTTGACGTGATGTTTTATTTTCATAAACCTACGCAACAACCATCACAACAACTTGCTCTTACTCGTCGTATATTTGTAAAATAGAAGTTTATTGAACCCCATTTTATTTACTGTTTCAAGTAGCGTGAAATTAATGGAAAATTCTGGACTGATTATTTGCGCCAGAATGTATCTGAGTGATGTCTCAAGGTTGTCGTATTAAAGGACTACAGTGCAATACCTAGGCACTATACTTCGAGTATTTGATGTTAGTTAGGAGAATCTTATTGTTATCATGTGTTACTTCATCTTTATGAACTGATATCCCTCAACCAAAGTAATATTTCACTTCTTCAAAAATACATATATTTCAAATTTTGTACCTTAAGGTTCACTGGTCAAAATCAACAAACTGTTTATTACCTATAATCTGCGTCCGGGCAGTTAGAGAGCATTCCTGGTTATGTAAGTTTTGACTTTTGTTTTGCTCCTTTTGATACTAGAGAAGAAAACCATTTAATCAATAATAATCAGGATTGTCAAAGAATACTTACAAAATAAAGGAAATATCAAGTCATTTTGAACGATTCGGCAGAAAGGGCTGTTGCAGTTAATTCTGGTGGAGAGTTCTCCAATCTAATGATTCTATAGTTTAAGAAGTTAAGATGAATTTTTAGGTGAGCTTTTTCTTCTTTTACAGTCGTATGTATCCTTGAGGGCAGTTTTGTACTGAAACGTAGTGGTGATTAATCAAGGTGAAGATTGCTCCGATTAATATTATGAATCATGATATACAGTTTTGGATTGCGCAGGCTAGGACTTAAAAGCTTGCAGAGGGATTGAGGGGCTCTCATATTTAAATTGCTCTTCTTTGAACACGCTTCAAGAGAAGAATATTTTTTTAAAATAAAGGGATACAAAAGAAAGCGGAATTTATTTACCTTAGTTATTGAGTATCCTCTTTACTGTAGACCAAATCATATAAATATAGTACTTTTTACTAATATTTTGTTCTTAACAATCCAGCACTGTAAACAAATCGGTAGCACTGTATTAACAGACTAATAGGAACTTCTCAAATTGCACTGTTGACTGATAAAGGTTGAATTATTATTAAGAAGTGACGTTTTTATCATGTCATTTTTATGTCATAATGAAGTTTTGTAGCTTGAACCAATAAACCGCTGACAGTTATCTACCTTAACTCAGTTTTTATCGTAAATTTTATAAGCAAAAGTTAACAATGCTTTTGTTTAATATATCCTAGTGATTAGATTTTATAATGTTTTATTCCTATAGATTCTCCAAAAATATGATAATTTTCCACATTGTTTGGACAGTAGAAAATTATGGTTTTCAATATAACTAATTAATTAAGTTACCTATGTTATTGTTCAAATGTCTACCTTAACTGAAGAGAATCACTATCTAAAAAATTTACAAAACTCCTCAAATAATCAATCATTTCACTTTTCTGAAGGAAACTTATCTAATTCAAATGATCTAATCAGTTCGCTTAGCCAAATTCAGTGGAAATATTTAACATCATTAAATCTATCATCAAATAAACTACGTGATATTACACTATTAAATTATGCTGATAAATTAGAATGTTTGGATCTATCCAATAATTTCTTAAATAATATATCTTCAATAATTAGTTGTAAAAGTTTAATTTCTTTGGATATTTCAAAGAATAATATACATGAACTACCAGAACTTAATCGGTTGCCGTTTTTAGAAAAATTAAATGCATCTCATAATCCATTAGGAAATATATCTGGTAAGTTGATGTTACCTGTATTTAATTCTTTTTTACAAAATATTCATGCTAACGGTCACAGTAACCTGTAATCCTCAGTAAATTTGAAATCAGTTTGTAAAATGTAATTCTAAGTATACAGTTTTATAGATTATTGAATTTTATTGAAATCATGAACCGATCTAAGTTGGACCACCATTCATGGCCCGGAAGTAATGGACAGCCATTTCGTTCAAGTGTGGGACTTCTCATCAATGCGAATTCACTATCTCGCGTCCGGAGCACGAACTTAAGATCTTCAACATTGTGTACTAACACTAAATTTCAAGATAACTGCGTCAGCCTAATATTTTTAGTGGTTACAAATGGCGATCAAGTTGTGTTGTAACGTATCAAATTTTAATAATCTCCAGAAACCTCCTAAACCGATTCGTAACTTTCTTTGAGTTTACAAAGCTTTTAAAGAGTAGCATTGTTTACACAGTGAAAACGATCTTGTGAATACTTATTTTGAATAAATTCGGACGAGAAATTATAGGACTGAAAAACTCCCCTAATTAGCACGGTCAGTATATCCAGGTTGACTGTTAAGTAAGCTGATTCTATAACAATTTATTGTTCAATAAAACTCTTGTGTTAAAAAGGAGCTAATATCGAGGAAACTGAAGTTTTCGAAATTAATTTTCGGAGAATTAAATACATACATACTTCTAATGCATAACTATTAACTGATCATATTACTTGATTCCTATATTTCCGTTGGCTTAAGCTTTCATTTGATATATCAACTGTTATTTCATGTTTTACCTCCCCTAGATTATTGTTAGCTAATTATTCAATCTTTTTTCCCCTGCCACTTCGTTGTGTTTTAAAATATTTGTGGCATATTATGGTCTGGTAGGTAACTTATATAAGCTGATGAATGTTCGAGTTTTAGGAATGGAATAGATAATAATGTAATTCGTTTACATATATGCTCTGTTCGTGTTATGAATGGCTACCAGGCTATATCGGTACTCCATTTCTGGCTAATAAGAGTAATAATATTCCACTTTTGGTAAAATTTCACCATAAATGCTCATTAAAAATATACTAACTAACTAACTGAATAGCATAAAAACAGTAAATATGTGTTTTATGTTAGTCAGAGACTGGTGACCGCTAACAATCTATAGTCACATAATGAGTTAAACCAGAGACTTAAATATGTCATAGAAAGCATAATTCCTATCCCACAATGATTCTGTACGAGGTCTTTGACGTTTAATACCATAGCGTCGAAAGTCAGAATGAGCTGATCTTAAACAATGTTTCTCCAAATCACCCGAACATTCTATAATCACGTACTCAATAATAGTTAACGAAGGATTTGATAACACTGAATTCCTAGAAAAGTCCATACCTTGTGTATTTACAAACCGAAAGGTAGATAAGTTTCAGCTTTCATTAAAGAGCCTCTAAAAACAAATAAAATTCCATATTTGAGGTGTTTACTGAAATCTTTGTCATCTTAAATTCCCACTAGTTTCACATGAAAATTATGATTAATTGTTTCAATTTCAAAATAAAATGAGGTGGTCAGAAAACGTAACCGTGGTCCATATTTTCTAAAAGACTCGAAACGTTACAATAAATTGGTCGTGCGTAGATTTCTTCCAAGGATATTTTTATACCTAATTTTGTAAAATCAGCTTAGTCATGCTCTTCAATTTGAATAAACTGAAGATTGAAATTGACCCCAAACATCATTCCGCAAAATATTTTTAAACGTAAGTCAATAAAAGAAGACATATCATCCGAAGAACATATGTTTTAATTCCAAATTTATAAAACCAATACGCTATGGAGATCACAGAAAACTAGGAAGCACTGAAAAAATGTCTCGTCCTAGTTTCGAACTGCTTACCTGAGTTTATATACTATCCCTCTGAGGATCAGAATGTAGATTTTGATGTACGTGACGAGTGTTTAACCTTAGGAAATTTTAGCCCTCATCCACTGGTTGACATGTTTAACTTTAATCAACCATGCTGGTTGTAAATCAGTAATCCACCAAAAGCAATGAAATATATTTACACAATACAGCGAACTGATTGAAACTGAAAGTGTAAACTACTGAACTCACGCTCAATTATCAACTGGCTAAACACTTTACGAATCATCAAGATCTTGAGTTTGATCACGAGTGAAATCATAAATGTACACTGGTATACAGTGCTTTCTAGTTTTTGATGAGTCTTTAATCTATATGAGTTCATAATCTCGCTGGTAATTAACATTATTCACAAACCCATTATACCGAAAAAAACAATACATTCAATATCTATGCCTAAATAAGTACCAAATAAATGGAATATTAATTTTGATTGGTTGCTTTTATCAAATTGTAAGGATGGCTCGTTGGCAAACTCAAGGAGCCCAGAAAAAGCCGAAGACAGTCCATCCAATCACCACTAGGGGAGCATTCTAGAATGTCGACGAGTAGCCTCCCTATTGGATGGATAAAGATGGCCCCTTATGTGTCTATTGGCTGTCCGAAATGATGATTTGCTTTCAGCAAAAAAACTAAAATACATGAGATTTGTTATATTTGTATTTTTGCTATATAAACGACCCAGCGATTCCTATTGCTTAGTATTCTTATACGATGACACTCGACAAGATCCCCAAATCAGAACACGTTGAACAGGAATGAAATTGTATTCAAAATAATAATGGTATGTGAACAGCAATCAGCAATCAATAGTTTAAATAATGTTCATATATTTATAGTATATGCATAAGAAGCTTATAGATTTTTCTGCAATAATATGCCCTGGCTGATCGGTTTAAAATTAATCAATCAGCGCGCAGCAACACCATCATGCATAAAACATGCTTAATCCAATCTATATCCCACTAACACCTTCCCCTTGAGCAGATTCGTAGGATCTGGTGTTAGGGTCCAACTGCAACCGCTTTACTGGTTTGCGCTTCCAGTTAGTCCATCTTCTAGGTAATAAGGACGTTGTATTATCCTTCGTTTGCACCTTGAATGTTCTGTCTGTTTCAGGTGTTTTAATCTCAAAGGTGTCTAGCAGAACATCAAGAGGTAATCTATGCTGCGTTTCGTTGTTGGAGATCGAGGTTGACTTCAGTTGGTTAGCATGACGCACCCAAACTTCAGAGCCAACTGACACCTCATAAACCACATTCCGTTTCTTTCTCACGATGCGATCAGCTGTCCACGTAGGATGTTTACCACGATAGTCCATAGCAAGTACTTTTTGACCCACCGTGAACAATCGTCTTTGTGCTCCATGGTGTCGATTGAACTGCTTCTCCATCGGTAAGTTTCGTTGGGGTTCACGAGATGGCGTCGGACGGATGACATCGAAATGTGTCCTTATTCTTCTGCCAAGTAACGCTTCCGCTGGAGAGACCCCATTTGTTGTTTGAGGGTTCTGTGTCGAACGGTAGATAAACAAGAACCTCTCTAAGATGTCTTCGGTGTCCCCCTCCTCTCTTGATTTTTTTACAGCATTTTTGAACGTACCAAAACGTTCTACCTGACCATTCGATTGCGGATGGAATGGAGGTGTTCGGATGTGCCTGATTCCGTCCTGCTGACAACATGCTGAAAAGTCTTTTCTGACTTCATCTGACGACACTGGAGTGTTTCGAATTGCCGCTGCTGCTACACTCCGTATTTCTGGAACCTTTTTACCTGTGTTTTTGCATATGAAGTGGTGTCTAATGATGGACACAACACGTTACACACGCTGTTGATGAGTATATCCATTAATCCAAGCTTTTCTAACATATCTAGACCAAGTAGATCAAGGTTTGGTCGTTCTGTTAGATAACATACTCCTTTACAGCTATTTCCATTGAAGGAAAATTCACATTGTAATTCACCAACTAGCTTCAGTACACCTCCAGATACGTTTTTAGCCGTTTTCTTCGATGGCTTCATTGGCGGTTTTCCCTGCAAGTTATACGTCTCTCTAGACACTATAGTAATATCGGATGCTGTGTCAATTTGAAGACGAACCGCTATACCATTAATCTGGATCGTAACATACTTTCTCCGAATGTCATAGTCTGTTTGAAAGGCTGCTACCAGAGAAAGTGATTTAGATTCGGCTGACTTTATGTGTCGAGTACACTTGTGCTTCTGCTTAGGCTGGGACATACGATTTGGAGGACAATGACCTTCTTTATGCCCACGTTTGTTACACATCTGACATTTATGTTTCTTGAATGGGCAGAATCGTACATAATGCCAATCACCACATAACCAACATACAGTCGTTGGTTTGCTACCACTTTTTTTCGGTTTCTGAACTTTTAACCTCGTAATAGCATTGACACTACTGCAGGTTAAATTAGGATTTACCTGTTCAATCAACTGATTGTCGTGTCTGATGTTCTGTAGCCGCTTACACTCATCTGTTAACGTTCTGAGTGTGTTGTTAGGTTCCAAACGAGTTAGAAGTCTGGTTCTAATCTCAGCATCTTGTGGTGACTGGAGAGCTCTGATGAATATAAGGCATTTAAATTGATCTTCTGTCAACGAGCGTAACTTGAACTTTTCACATTCTCTGTTGACGATGTCTGCTAGAACACCAAATTCATCGGCTTCTCGTTTCACCAAATTAAGACACTGGTAGCGAATACTAAACAATGAGGAAGATTCACCGAATATTTCTGACAGCTGAGATACTGTCTCCTCGAAACTGAGCTCTCGAGGTAACTTTGGTAATATATGACCAGCATTGCGTGCATGTTCATGACTTCCCAACTTGCTCATCAACAGTCGAGTCTTCCATGCGTCGTTTTGATTACAGAACTCTATTCTAAATGTGTCTTCCCAACGCTTGAACCACGTGAGAAATGTATTGCCACATTCGGGGTCATAATAGAATTCTGGGATGCTGCTGGCAACTGCATCACAAGAAGAAGTACTTGTAGTGGCATGTGAACTCGAGCAGTGTATGTTAAGCTGTTGCGTCAGAGTTTCTAACAGGCGCATTTGTGCGCCAAGTTGTGCTTGCTGTTGTTGAAGTATTTGGCTGAGCTCGTCATTTGATATAGGCATTTTGAATGAATTTTCCTTTTTCCTCGTCGCCACTGTTATATTTGTATTTTTGCTTTATAAACGACCCAGCGATTCCTATTGCTTAGTATTCTTATACGATGACACTCGACAAGATCCCCAAATCAGAACACGTTGAACAGGAATGAAATTGTATTCAAAATAATAATGGTATGTGAACAGCAATCGTTCATATATTTATAGTATAAGCATAAGAAGCTATAGATTTTTCTGCAATAATATGCCCTGGCTGATCGGTTTAAAATTAACCAATCATCGCGCAGCAACACCATCATGCATAAAACATGCTTAATCCAATCTATATCCCACTAACAAGATTTCTGTATTATACTTGACACTGTTTCGGGGAATGAAATTCTTACTTACTAGTCTTCTGTCTTCTCTCTTGCGACGTTGTGGGTTCGATCGTTCAAGTAGTCTAGTAGTACGCGGCATTGCAAGAATCAAAGCTCGAGATATAACACAAATGAAAAGCTTTAATAAACAAAGTGAATAATAGTATTATTTAGTTGGGATCATGAGTCAATTGACGCTAGACCACCATAGAAAACCTGGAAGCACTGGAGAAGCACTAGTGTGAAGCAGTAATCAGTGGAGTTCAACCAGGTCTCTTGTGAGATGTCAACTTACTGAAGACATTGGTGAATGGTTTTTCAATTTCGTGGATTAGTTGAAGTTAGATATTAACACTGTTGGAGGCCGGCTCAGTGATCTATCGGTTAAGTGCTCTGGCGCGAGACTGGTTGGTTCTGGGTTCGAATCTCGTGAGGCGGGATCGTGGATGCGCACTGCTGAGAAGTCCCACAATAGGACGAAACGGCCGTCCAGTTCTTCCAGGTTTTCCATGGTGGTCTAGCTTCAATTGACTAACGATTTCAACTATTTGAAATTACTAAAATCTCCACAAAACCCCCTTCTGATAAATAGTAATAGTTGAGTTCATGAATCAATTAAAGCTAGACGAAGATGGAAAACCTAGAACCACTAGACGGCCATTTCGTCATATCATGAGATTCTTCAGCAATGCTCATCCACGACCTCACTATTACAAATGATTATTTTCGTCTTATTTCTTCATTTTTTTTTCAACAAAAAAACATTATTTATGATTAAATAATGTTTTTTTTTGTTTCATTTCTTTTTTTTTATAAAATAGGTTTATGGGGATGTATGAATTTACGTTATTTAGATATGACCTCTTGTCATTTAAATTCATATTTATTAATTGGATTAAATAAAAATGAAATTCAATTTGGTGCTATTAACCCTTTAGAGGATAATCATTATAATAATAATTTATCCATATATACAAAAGTATCAAATCGTTTTATTAAAAATTATCCAACCTTATTAGGTATTCCACAATTATGTTTCCTTAATTTAAGTTCTAATCCTAAATTATCTAATATATTTAATATTAAATTAAATTCAAATGAATGGTCATGGATACAAAATAATTTATATAATAATGAAAATTTAGTTGCCAAGCAATATTCTAATGAAAATTTACTAGATAATGACAATAAAATAAATTCTAGTTGCTATGGTATTTTACCATATAAAATTAAATATTTAAATTTACAAGGATGTAATATTAATTATATAAATGGTTTAACATTTATGAAACGATTAAATATATTGAATTTAAGTCAGAATCAAATTATAGATCATCAAGCTTTAATGTAAGTTTTATTTTTCTTTTTTTTCTTTGTTTTTCTTGTTATGACCCCAAATGCCCTAGTACGGCCGAGAGTGGGGAGAGTTTGCTCTCCCTCTCCAAATGCTCTCATATGGCCACGCGAATATATAGCCTTTGACAAGGAAGTCCTACTCACTGCCTTATCGTGGCGGGGATGTTGTTCACAAAAGTGAGAGGATGAAAAGCGAATGTCCGGAGCTTTAACCGGGTTGGTGGATGTGGAGGATCCACCTAAGGGAGTTGGCAAACCCTGATTCCAAACCAATGGTGCACATGGGCTCCAGTATCCTGAAGGAACAAATGGCGTATGAACCAACTGTTGGTCACCGGCTACCATGGGACTGCATCTCCTCACGATGCTCCACTGCCTTGTGGATCAGACCTTTAAGTCAAAGGCTCGGGGGTGTGGCCCCCTAAGAAAACCACCTGCTCCAGTTTGGACACCTGGTCAGTATCACAGCCCTCAAACAAATCGAATGAGATTTGCGTGGCGCATATGTATCTGATGCCTCTTTGTATCAATATTAATGTGTTTAAATAAATAATTTAATAAATGAATTTTCTTATTAAATATTTTTTATTTGAATTTAATTTCCTTTTCTTTCTTTCTTTTTTTGGTAAATTTATTCAAGGCCACTTAAATCATTATCATGTTTACATAATTTAAATTTAAAAAATAATCCAATTTGTGATCAGAATAATTATTTTCAAAGAATAATTTTTCATTTGAAAAACTTGAAAATTTTGGATGATCGTCGAGTGTCAATAATGGATAGAGTAAGTGATAATATATCAGAAGGGGTTTTGTGGAGATTTCGGTATTTTCATAGTTGAAACCATGATTCAATTGTAGCTAGACCACCATGGAAAACCTAGGAGAATTGGACGGCCATTTCGTCCTGTCATGGGACTCCTCAGCAGTGTGCATCCACGATCCTGCACTCACGAGATTCGAACCCAGGACCTAACGGTCTCGCGCCAGAGCACTTAGCCGATAGACCACTGAGCCGGTCGGCATCCAAAGTTGTTAATGTCTAACTTCAGTCAATCCACGATGTTTTTGAACGACCATTCACCAATTGTCTTCAGTGAGTTGATATCTCTACAACAGATTTGGTTGAACTCCACTGATCACTGCTTCCTACTAGAACTCAAGGAAACATCCCTTGAAGCCGGTCACTAGTGAGCATATGATTATAGATCGGAAGGGGTTTTGAAGAGATTTCAGTATTTCATAGTTGAAATCATGAGTCAATAGAAGCTAGACAACCATGGAAAACCTAGAAGCACTGGACGGCCGTTTTGTCCTCAGTGGTCTATCTGTTAAATGCTACGGCGCCAGACCGGTAGGTCCTGGGTTCGAATCTCGCGAGTGCGGGATCGTGGATGAGCACTGCTGAGGAGTCCCATAACAGGACGAAACGGCCGTCCAGTGCTTCCAGGTTTTCCATGGTGGTCTAGCTTCAATTGACTCATGATTCCAACTATAAGTGATAATTGTTATTATCATGATTGTTATTGTGAAAATGTTCACATTTGAACAGGCTCCAATATTCTCAAGGATCATTTTTTATTACTTTCCATCGATATTAAGAGTCCGTAGTGAATGTCTGTCTCACATCTGATATGGTTGATGTCCACTGGTCTTGGTATTTCAACAGAACTTCAAGAATTCTATCTCGAAGCTTGTTACCAGTTAGCAGATGATTATTATCAGTATAGAATTTTGTGGAAATTATCGAATTTTCATAGTTTCTAAATCACAAATCGATCTTGGTCAGATCACTACTCAGATCCTAGAAGCACTGGACATCCATTCCGTTTAAGTATGCGAATCCTCAACAGTGCTTGTCCATGATGACAGTGATTGTTTAACCAAAATTTGTTTGTGATTTTAAAGAAACTATGAAAATCCTATGTAATCCACAAAGCCATATGTTTTAACATTAAGCACTGGATAAATCATGGCATCATATAAATTTCCATTGCCTGACTGATTCTTTTTGTTAGAAAGTTAGAATAGATTCAAAGATTTCCATAGAAGAAATGAATGAATGTAGTGTGTATGTGTTATGACTTATCGTATAATACTGTGTCCGAATAGGTTTTGTATGATGATTCTTATGCACATTTACTTAGTAAATGCTGTATTCAAATTATTAATATTGTATTATCATGCTAATCCATTAGGTCGTAACAAAATATAATTAACAACAGATTTTTAACTGAATATAGATTGGATTAAAGTACGTTCCGGACAGAATGGTGTCGGTGCACGCTGATTGGCTATTTATTATTCAATCAGCGTCAGTCGATACTTGGAGAGCACTCTAGAATCTTCTCATATGAATACTATAAGTATACTTGAGTTTTTCTTATTGTGCTTCTTATATCCATCTACCCTTTTTATTTGGAATATAATTTTTTCCTGTTCAATCGTGTTCTGATTTGCGAACTTGTCGAGTGAAGTAGTGTCCAAGAGTAATAAGCAATAGGAATAGCTGGGTCGTCATAAGAGAAATTATAACACAGAGAGTCATGATAAATTAAGTGTAGGAATTGGTTAGATGATTAACAGTTGTTTTCTTTTTTTAAAAAAGAAACAGTTTATTTTCACTGCCCCTCAACAACCTTCATCAATTTGTATCAAGTTTTTTTGAAGTGTCCACTACATCATATCTCTATTGTTATTTTTTCTAGGTACGCGCAAATCTTTACTATGAACCTACATTAGAACAAGTAGCCAGAGAAGATCATCGAATTAATTTATTGCATCAATTTACAAAACCTCAACGTTTAAGAGATTGGTAAATTTATTTTAATTAATATAATTAATTATTATAAGTCTAGAAGATTTGTGGAGATTGTTTAAATTTTATAGTATACACAATTTACTGATTCTATTCCTACAATTATGTAATATCGGGAACTGATTGAAGTTATATATATACTTACGCCCGTTACTCCAAATAGAGCATAGGTCGCCGACCAGCATTCTCCAACCCTCTCAGTCCTGGGCCTTTCTTTCTAGTTCTATCCAGTTTTTGTTCATTCTTCTCATGTCTTTCTCCATTTTTCGTCGTAATGTGTACTTTGATCTTCCTCTTCTCCTTTGACCTTCAGGATTCCATGTGAGTGCTTGTCTTGTGACACAATTGGGTGATTTCCTCAATGTGTGCATAATCCACTTCCAGTGCTTCTTCCTGATTTCTTGCTCCGCTGGAATCTGGTTTGTTCTCTCCCACAGTAGGTTGTTGCTGATGGTGTCTGACTAACAGATCTGAAGTGTCTTACGTAGACAACTGTTAATAAACACTTGTATCTTCTGGATGATGGCCTATGTAGTTCTTCACGTCTCGGCCTCATACAGTAGAACTGCCTTGACATTTGTACTGAAAATTCTGATCTTGGTGTTTGTTAACAATTGTTTTGAATTGCAGATGTTCTTCAGTTGTAAATATGCTGCTCTTGCTTTGCCGATCCTCATGATCACATCAGCTTCAGGTCCACCGTGTTCATCAATGATGCTGCCCAGATATGTAAAGGTTTCCACATCCTCTAAAGCTTCTCCGTCAAGTGTAATTTGATTGGTGCATGTTGTATTGTGTCGGAGAATCTTGCTTTTCCCTTTGTTTATATTGAGACCTACTGCTGCTGAGGCTGCTGCTGCTAGACTGATCGTTTTCTCCTGCATTTGTTGTTGTGTGTGTTATAGAAGAGCCAGATCATTCGCGAATTCTGAATCGTCAAGCTGCATCCCAGCTGTCCACTGTATACCGTGCATTCCTCCAGTTGTTGATGTCTTCATGATCCCGTCGATCACCCGGCGAAAGAGAAAGAATGAGAGTAAGCAGTCTTTCCTGACATCGGTCTATATATCGAACGAGTTTAATCCATCATAGGAATTCCACATGATATTGATGTAGAGTAATGATGCTGTCCAGATATGTAAAGGTTTTTACATGCTCCAGAGCTTCTCCGTCAAGTGTAATTCAATTGATGCATACTGTATTACATATATATACTTTTGTTTGCTTGCTCAATGGTCAGGAGGTTAAGTTCTCGTCGCGAGGTCAAAGGTTCTTTGTTCGATACTTTGTGAGATCATAGATGCGAACTGCTAAGAATTAGAAAACTTAGGACAAATAATTGTATTTCTTACTATGGTTAAGTGTTAGATTGCCCTAATAAATACAATGCAAATTGTACAATACATCGTATATGAATCTCGTTATCTTAAAAACAACTGTTAGCTTCAGCAAAAGATATGTTCAGGAAGAACATTAATTAACAATAAATCCTCAGTTTATACTGAAACATCGATTATAGGAAATTTAAAACTGTATTAATTACCATTGTAGTTTAAGTAAACGACTAAGAAAGACTTTTTTTCAATAAATAAGAAGTATCCTGATAATTAGGTTGGAGGTTAATTATTCCTTCTCCAATAACCAAGAAAAGTGAAATACCGAGTATTTTGTTTTGCTCATCTAGTAGGTAAGCACTAAGAATAACAGTGTAATTTTGATTGAAGAATCCATTTCAATCATTTATAGCTATTCATGTATGTCTATTGTGAACATATCACTGTACCACATCCCAATGTGTCAATTAAGTAAAATTTAGGGCTTGAAATCAAATCGTCAATAAAACTATTCTTTAGATGTAGCAATCACTGACTGGTAAAATGCTTACAAATGCTTGATACAGTACAGATTTTGAACATTGGACAACAGATGCGCTAAATATTCACGAACTTATGTCCTATCTCATAATTAAAGTAATAATAAGTTTACGTTATCCTAATGTTTAGCTTTATAGTATATCCTCTGAATTACAATCAGGGAATTAAAGTAGATAAATAATTCTGACATAATCATCAGTAAAGTACTTTTGTAAATCTTGTGTAAGGGCAAATATGAGGTAACGTTAGATTGATAACAAACAGTTGAATCTAAATACAAAGAATTTTATGCTGAAAATATTTACTATAATTTGTGAATGAATTAAACTTTCATAATGTGTAACAGGGCTATAAAGTAGATATAATGTGGGGGCTTAGTTACTGTAAATGAAATCAATGGAGGAAATTCATGATTGAACATTCTCAAGCTAACTGATGCAATAAACTTAACCAATATGATTTCATTATCATCTAACAAGCTTTTTTGGCAAATGATTTTGAGTGACCAAGAAGAGAGAAGCTGATAAACAATACATCCAAATCACTCTTTAAAAAGGTTAAATTAATACAAGTACATTGAGTTGGTTATTCATAACAGTTTATCCTTTAATTAGAAGTAATGCGGTGTGGGTTACTTATATCCACATAAGTAGTATGTGGTGATGGCCAGGCATAGAATGTATTTCACTAGAAGTTTGATAAGAAAAGAACAGAAATCAGACGGAATTGGTATGAAAATGCATGTACAATAATAATCGAAGACTATAGACTGATATTGGCAAAAGGAACAGTTAAGATTCAGACAACTGATTGTTATTCTGCAAATTAACTGTTTACTGTATGGTTGTTAGATTTTAATGCGAAAGTTTGTAATTTTTGTATCAAATAATTTCGATTGACCACAATCGTGTTCTCGCTCCCTACAGTAAGACAAGTAGACAGTTTTTATTAGTTACATGAAAAGATTGTTAAATGAAGTGGTTTTCAAATGAATGACATGTTAATATTCTGTGTGTTCTTTCAACAATATCTTTACCTCCTTTAGTAAATAGTATTTTCTTAACATTCAACTTTGATAAGTATTTATATCCAATATTTGTTTCATTTAAATGTAACGTATAATGATGTTCAATCAAAAAGAGAGAATTTAAATTGGTTGATTTATACTATAGATAGTTTATGAACGAGTTTTATTGATTGAAAGAGGTTGAAGAATGATTTCATTATTCCACCGCTGTTGTACAATTTTATTGTCATCTTTAAAAGTTATTTTTGAAATTCATGAATCTTTCAAATGTTTCACCATTTATTTTAATGAGCTTAAATATCAGGAAATCAATATTGGTAGTTAGATTCTTTATGATTAAAATATACGAATATTTCAATTGATATCATGAATAGATTAATGTTAGATGACTATTAAAGACCTGGAAGCACTGGACAGCCATTTCATCCTAGTGTTGGACTCCTCAGAAGTGTGCATCCGTGACTCCTTATACGGGACTCGGACCCAGGATCTGTCGGTTTCGTGGGCGAACGCTTTGCCTTTAAACCACTGAACGAGCATCCAAGGGTCTAATGTTTAATTTTAAACAATCCACGAAATTGACTAAGTTGAGACACTATCCGTCATTATCTTCAATGAGTTACTATCTCACAACAAACTCGGTTGAACTCTACTGGTCACATCTTCTTATTAGAACTCCACAAAATACCCCTTGAAACCAGTCACTGATGAGCATATGATGGTTTTATTCTACTCGAATAAATTATCACACAACCAATATTCAATCATTGTTTTATACCATTGAAGCGATTAACTAACAATTATGATTTTATACAGTTGAGATCATGAGTCAATTGAAGCTAGACCACCATGTAAAACCTGGAAGCACTGGACGGCCGTTTTCTCTTATTGCGGGACCCCTCAGCAGTGTGCATCCACGATCCCGCCTCGCAAGATTTGAACCCAGGACCTATCAGACTTGCACCGGAGCACTTATTTGATAGACCACTGAGTCGACATCCAACATTCATAAAATGGCTGTAGACATGCTGTTGAATCAGTCAAAAATGTAAACATAGTTCTAGTGGCTTTAATATTATAATTTATTTATTTATTATTTTTTTGACAAAGTTCCATTCGAAAAACTGTATCTCCATTTCTTACTTACAAACTTCATATTATATTCTAACTATTTTCTACAGTACCAAAATTAAGAAATCTACTCTACCTGGTCTGTTTGGACATAATAACTCACTGAAGACAATGGTGGATGTGTTGCTCAATTTCCTGGATTGGTTAATGTTAGACATTAACACCGTTGAATGGCGGCTCAGTGGTTCTAGGATTCGAATCTCGTGAGGCGAGATCGTGAATGCGCACTGCTGAAAAGTCTCACACTATGACGAAGCAGCTGCCCTGTGTTTCCATGTTTTCCACAGTGGTCTAGCTTCAATTGACTCATGATCTCAACTATATAAAATTACTAAAAATCACCACACAGCCCCCCTCTGATAACTATGATTTTAATTTATTTCTTTAATTATTTATTTTTTTTTAAATTTAAACTAAACTCTTCTATAATTTATTATTTTTCTTCTCTATTAAAGTACTTTACCACATATAGATACACCATATCCAATTCTTGCTATTATTGGACCAGTTGGTATTAATAAACGTCAATTAAGAAAATTATTATGTCAACAATTAGATAATTATTTTATACCAATTATATGTCATACAGATAGATTACCTAAATGTAATAAATTAAGAAAACAATTCAATTCTATTTATTCAATAGATTCATCTAATAATAATAATAACATGGCAACTATCACTCAATTAAACAACAACCCTAATAATAATAATAATGAAATTGATGGTGTTGATTATTATTTTATAAATAAAGAAAATTTTAATAAAAAACGAATAGATGGTGAATTTATTCAAACTACTCAAATTATGGGTAAGTAATGTATAATCAGAAAGGGGTTTTGTGAATATTTCAGTATTTTCATAGTTGAAAATTTTAAGTCAATTGAAACTAGACCACCAAGGAAAACCTGGAAGCAATGGACGAACGTTTCGTTCTATGGTGGGACTATCGGTTAAGTGCTCTGGTGCGAGACTGGTAAGTCCTGGGTTCGAATCTCGCTAGGCGAGGTTGTGGATGCGCACTGCTGAGGAGTCCCAAAATAGGACGAAACGATCGTCCAATGCTTTCAGGTTTTCTTTGATGGTCTAGCTTCAAATGACTCACACTTTCAACTAAGAATTGTATAGTTTGAAATTATTGTTATTTTTTGTTGTTGTGAAAATCATTAGAAACATTTTAATAAAAAAAACATACAATGAATAATTATTAAATATGAACTAATAGACTCATTTCCAAAAAAGGAATCTAGTGAGTTTTTATGGGGGGGGGCATCGGCCTTGTGACTTCCAAAGGAACTCGGCTTTTATCATGAAGCGTCATAATTCTTCCTTCAACTCCCTGGGCAGAGTTCTTAACTGGGTTTATTTCATTGATGCACACATCTAACTATACCTTTGTGAAACCTATCTTAAAGCTACTGATTTTTTATTTATTTGAACACATAAATATTGGTAAATAGAGGTACCGAATACAAATGCGCCACACAAGTCAGTTGATATGTATGTGGTCTGTGATACTGCATGGGTGCCCAAACTGGTGCAGGTGGTTTTCTTAGAAGAGCACACCCAGAGCCTTCAACCTAAAGATCTGATCCACAAGGCAGTAAAACAACGTCTGGACATGTAGTCTAATGGTAGCTGGTGACCAGCAATATGTTCATACTCCATTTGTTCCCTCAGGATCCTGAAGCCCATGTTCACCATTGGTTTGGAATCAGGGTTTGCCAACTCCCCTAGGTGGACCCTCCATATCCATCGAGCCGATTAAAGCGCCGGACATTCGCTTTTCGTCCTCTCACTTTTGTGAACAACACCCCCGCCACGATAAGGCAGTGAGTAGAACTTCCCTGCCAGTGACTATATACGCGTGGCTATGTGAGAGCATTTGGAGAGGGAGAGCGGGCTCTCCCCACCCTTGGCCACACCAATCCATTTGAGGGCTAGTAACTTGTAAACATAAGATTATAATCTGTTGAGATGATTTTGTGAACATTTCATAGTTATATTAAATGAAAATAGTGGTTTACTACTGTATATGTGCTACTGTTGACAGATATAAGTAGTATGTATCATCAATCGAAAGTTAAATGCCTGGAGACAGAAGATTAGGAAGATCGAAGGAAAGAAAATGAGAACAAAGAATGATAGATTTGGAAACGAAGGAACAGTCAAGTTTGAGATTATTTATTGACATTTTGCAAATGAAGTATTTACTGTATGGTTCTCGGATTTTACTAAGATGTTCTGCAAGTTTATCTTCAAGTACATTCGATTGTTATTATTTGTGTTCTCGTTCACTACAGTACAAATTGACTAAATTTTTAAAAAATCTTAACCAGTAAGTCATAATCATGATAACATGAAATGTAACCCAGAGCTGAGTCAAAGCGAATTACTTTTAAGACCTTCCTAACCAACAGAAAATATTACACGGGTTCTCCACCTTTACTATTGATTCCTTAGTTGATGTCAATTATTGTTGATTAAGATTATTTTCAAATCCTGTAATCGAAGCTAGTCTGTTTTAACAAGGATTGAATAAATCTCTTCAACTGATCAATCGAACAATGTTTTCGAATTTTATTTGTCTATTTATTCTTTTATTTAATGTGATCCATATTCAATCATTTTATGATTTAAATGTAAATTTCAAGTTATCAATAAAAAGAAGTACTTTTGTACAGCACTTCAAATGCTAACTTGATATGAACCTTATGACCAGTTTCAACCAAATGTTTCGAAATGGAGGAAGATGTCTGTCTATACTTTGATCTTGTTTGATATTAAGTCAGTATTTGTAGTGTTGTGCAAAAATATTCAAGGTTGTATACTAAGGTTTATTGAAGCCTTGACTATACGGAAATTCAAACCCTCTTTATGTCTTCAAAAACAATTTGTTCTTACCCTTAACATACCCTGGTAAAAAAAAGTACGACAATACACATTTTTCGCCCTAATTTTTCAGTAAGTTATGTTTAGTGAATATATTTCTCACGTATTCTAGTATTCCATCAGTAAAATCCTATTTCCATGTCTTCTTTGTTTTTTCATTAAAATTGTAATCTAGTTCTTTAGATATCTGACTTTTCCTATTGAATGGTATGTTTGCATCACGTTTGTTACCTATTGAACAATTAGGTATCGTGAACAATTGTCTCATAAAATCTGTGGTTTACTAGTTCATAATTGTATATAAAGTTGATTATAAGGCTTTATTCAGTAGTTTTCAATTATCCTGATCAATTATGCAATATAGTCTTCGAAGAAAGATATAAAATTGTGATTTCTTCTACATATTTTATTTAGGATATCAATATGGATTATCATGGGAAATACTAGAAAGTATTGCACGTCGTGGATTAGCCGGTATAGTTGTTGGTGAATTAGAACTTTTGTATGGATTACGTTTAGCTGGATTAAAACCTCGATCAATCTTGTGTTTACCAAATAATTTACATCATTATGAAAGAGTAATACGTGTGAGTATATCACAAATTCATTGTACTCAATCTGGATTGTCATGTGATGATAATATATTAGAAACATCATTAGAAAATACAGAGAAATGGATAAATTGGTATATTCAAAGAACTGATCAATTATATCCACAAATACATCGTGATAATCCTGGGTTATTTGATGCTGTATTGTCTAGCGATGATACACAAGAATTATTTCAACAATTACTTTTATTAATTTTAGACTATTTAGGTAAGTTGAATAAAAAAATAAGTAAATTGAATATATAAATATATACTTACTTACTTACGCCTGTCACTCCCAATGGAGCATAGGCCGCCGACTAGCATTCTCCAACCCACTCAGTCCTAGACCTTCCTTTCTAGTTCTATCCAGTTTTTGTTCATTCTTCTCATGTCTGTCTCCATTTTTCGTCGTAATGTGTTCTTTGATCTTCTTCTTCTCCTTTGACCCTCAGGATTCCATGTGAGGACTTGTCTTGTGACACAGTTGGGTGATTTCCTCAATGTGTGCACAATCCACTTCAAACGCCTCTTCCTGATTTCTCCCTCCACTGGAATCTGGTTTGTTCTCTCCCACAGTAACTTGTTGCTGATAGTGTCTGACTAACGGATCCGAAGTATCTTTCGTAGACATCTGTTAATAAACACTTGTATCTTCTGGATGATGGCCTATGTAGTTCTCCACGTCTCCGCCCCATACAGTAGAACTGTCTTGACATTTGTATTGAAAATTCTGATCTTGGTGTTTGTTAACAATTGTTTTGAATTGCAGATGTTCTTCAGTTGTAAATATGCTGCTCTTGCTTCGCCGATCCTCGCCATCACATCTGAATCAGATCCACCGTGTTCATTGATGATGTTGATATATATATATAATTCATATAATCTTAAAGAATTTTATTGTGCAAATTGGCACAACACAAACAATGTTACTTTCAATTATATATCGTCATAAATGTTTACTCAGATAAAGATGAATAGTTATGTGGGTAGATGAAAATATTAAATGTATCAAGGCAATACGTGAATCAGTAAGTATCCATCATCATTCATTGACAAGGACATACAACTCAAACCACTTGAAGCACAATTAACCTCTGTAGATAAGTAAACACTTTATATAAACATCAATTTCAAAGGTGATATAGTTAGGTGATATAGTCTTGAAGAGGAGAATTTCGGACTTTCGCAAAACAACATTCTTTGCTGCAACTTTACGAATTACCATTATTATTATTATTAATGGCTTTATTCAATATAAAATTCTCAGCACAAGGTATTTCAAGAAGTTTCTTTTACAAGAAATAAATAAGACAACAGAAAATAAAAAGGTTAAAAAGGACCTGAATTTGCAAAACGTTTCAAATTAGAGACATGTTTAAGAATAGGGGTTATTGACTAGGTTAACTCTAGCAATCTGTTCGTCATAGAGTATATTTACTTGGTAAAGGTATTATAGAACTTTTATACATTTGCTTTTGTGCATGGATTTTAGTGGATTTACATCTCGTTCTGACAGAGGATATACAAGGAGAAAAATATGAATGAAAGGGATGGTTAGTATCTGATCAGATAACACCTGTCAGAAGTTTGCAAGAATTTAGATGTCTATCCACAACCATATTAATAATGACCTCAAATGATTCACCACACACCTTGCTAACTACTTTCAGCACTCTCCACAATACAGAAAAGCCTTTTCTCAACAGCTCGCGAAAGAATAATGGAGAACAGTAAGTAGTAAAAGGTAATATGCAGCAACTGACAAATTGAAAGAGTAGGTGTCGAGTAATCCCAAATGCATGCAGCCTCTTTATGTAGTAAGTCAAACGGTAAACTTTTTTCGATAGCAATAAAACATGAGAAGACCAGGAGAGATCAGAGGAAAAAGTTACACCGAGATAATTGACCTTCGACACTGTGTTTATCAAGGAGTCTGCAATGTCACAAGCATTATGGGATCCCAAAATAGTGTTTAGGTGTTGTCCATGTGTTATATCACCTGGTGAATTATGAATGGTAACTCTGAGGACTAGTTATGGACCAATGTAATATGTACATTTCCTATTATATAATTGTTGTATCATTAGCTTTATTTTGACCTTTGAACTATTATTATACGATTCTTGAGTTATCATCAGTCTATCGATTACTTTCCCCCTATTAACAGCCACAATTGGCCAATTATTGTACAAATGTTATTTTCTATTTTTTGGTACGATGTGGTCTGTTTGGTTTGTATATAAACCCAGTATGTTTGTGAATAATGATTCATATTGCCGAGGCTGTTATTGGTGTTCTGGACTTAACTGGCTGGGCTAGGCAGAAAGTAGGACTGACAAGTACTCAAGACTGCTCACACGGATTTTGTGTATCATTGGGCCTTCATATACGAAACAGGCCACGCAACTCACTTACACGTTATAACACCATGTCTCAAGCTAAAGTTAACAGCTTGACATTTAGACGGCTTAATTAAAGGGCCATTACCAACAGATTACCATTCAATACGAGACAAAAACCCATTCATTTCTATGGGATGTAGAGAGGTAGAAATAGGCATACCATACAGTGAGGTCGTTTGCATATTTCACAAAAGTGTTTTCTGTGCTAGATGGCAGGTCATGCAGAAAAAAAGCAGAAAGAAGAGGTGAAAGAACAGCTCCTTGCGGTGCACCTGTACTGTTCTCTTCCAGAGAGGTAAGAATATAATCAGTTGGTTGACGCTGATTAACTTGTTAGGTGAAAGTTGTCTTGGGATAGAATCAAAAGCAGAAGTATAGTCCAGAAAAGCGCATTGAACATATTTCTTATTCTTTTCCAGGCCGAACACCATACTGAATACATCATCAAAGATGATGAGAAACTTATACTATTCTAAGATGGTAGAAAATTGGTTACAAGACATATTTAATCTTAAATAAATGATATTCTTGGGATTCTATTGCTGACTGAATCACAACAAATAATTCCTTAGAATAAAAGCGAACCATAAGCATTCACTAACTGGGCAACCCTCTCTGGCACTTCAAAAAAAAGTATATTCTAAAACATTCGAAATGGGTGAAAAATGATGTATTTATAAATGTTGTCGTTTACCATACTACTTTTATCATATCTTGTCTACTTAAAAAAAGGTCTTTAAAATATCTAGAAAGATAACTGAATAGAATTAAGAATGAATTTCAACATGTACAAATGCAGTGAAATGCATGTTTTAATATGATGCAGTTGTAAATTAGCATAATCAATGTTTTAATAACCGAATGAAATGGTCATTAGTTACCATTAAGTTAATAAACTGAACTTAGAAACAGGTTTTTATTTATTTTCAGAAGATAGGTTCGTGGAGATTTTAGTAATTTTATATAGCTGAAATCATGAGTCAATTGAAGCTAGACCGCCATGGAAAACCTGAAAGCACTGGACGGCCGCTTCGTCCCATTGTGGGACTCCTCAGCAGTGCGCATCCACAATAGGACGAAACGGCCGTCCAGTGCTTCCAGGTTTTCCATGGTGGTCTAGTTTCAATTGACTCATGATCTCAACTATATAACATTTTATTTATTTATTTTAGTATATAGACTGATATGCTTGGTGTTAATTCAAAATGGATTGTGATTGAAATGGACTCCATTTTGATGGGCTACTATGTTACAAATATGAGGTAAATATCAAACTAACACATATTTTAATTTCACTTATTTTGTTTACATTTTAGGTATAAATAGCTCCGGTGATTTGTCTAATGTGCAGATGAACGACAATGGTATTACTGAAATACAAAGTGCCCCATAAATACGTGGGCTTTGGTAAAATATGTTGAGACTATTTGGTTCACTCATTTATACGCAAATAAAGTTTGGAGAGTTGGTCGTTTTCAATAGACCAGCTGTTTCATCAATAGCATATCTAACCAAGCCTTCTTTACAATCATTATCTAAAATGAATACATGATAACTTAAACAAATTCGTCTTTTATTAAAGTATTCGTGACTTGAAGATACTAATGAACTTGATGATACTATTTCTTTTATACCTAGACTTCATGCTCATTGATATTTATTGTTTAAGTAACCTTGACTTTAAGACTGGATGCTACTCCTTTGGGCAAATGAGTGTCGTTTAGTATTTCTACATGTGTTAAATAGGCGATTATTTGGTGATTGTTTTTCCGGAAGATTGGCCAGTGATATGCAGTTCAATAGGATATAAATTCAATAGGATTTTCTGCTTCTGTTGTACACAAATAGCTTCAACTTAATGCACAGATCCTAAAGTTCACTGAAATTTCGTAGGAAATCACGGAATATGAAAACTTAATCGTACAGATCCCTACAAAAACACAAAGTTATCGATATTAATTCCATTTAAAAGACGAACGAATTAAGATTTCCTGAGCAGGTTCTCACTAAGTAGCTCTGTAAATACTAAGTTGTTGACTGTTATGATTTCTAACTGCTATCAGATGAGCTTAAACAAAATCTTGATATAAGATCAATCAATTCTTTTTGAAGCGCTTAATCAATGTTTTACAAAATACTATGTTGAAAACGACATCTCAGAGTACAAGTGAACGGAGAAGTGGTTACTAATGTAACTTGTCGGCAGATTACAAGGTATTCCTATTTGAATTTCACTGCACAGTTATTTTATCATGGCTAGTGAAGTCTCGTACGGTAATGCCTACTATTCATTTATCGTCCTTGTATTTAACAAATATTGATAAGAATACTGCTTCTACTTGTTCCAGTTTACGTGTACATGATCTTAGGATTTGAAAGACGTTTAGAGACAACTAGAATTTATTTTCATGTATTTCATCACTCATAACATCATTTTGATTGAGCTTCTAACTTCTCGGTTTAACCGATAATTAGGAAATTACAAACTGAAGGCTGAAAACAAAACTATTTGTACCATAATCAATGTGACTCATTTTACTACAAAGTCTGCTGATGTTGAGTTTACTTTCACGAAAAGCTTAATTTATACTATCGGTTATATTCTGTGGATAAACAACCAAGATTGAAAAATAAATTTTTCTACAGTCTCACAAAGAGGGTCATAGCATAGAAATGTTCAAACGCAGCACGATTTCTTTGCTCTCTGCGATCGTGTAGGCCCTAGAAGGCTGAACACGGATTTTCGGTGGTAAGTAAACCATCAATGTAAATAGCTTTTTTCAGGATTTGATCCTGATTCTGACCTCATCCGTTTTACTGGGCACACTAGTGAGTTGTGAGGCATTATAGTGTATCTGTAAATAATTCCCCAAAATCAGTAGCTCATTAAGTGTCTCTAAAAAAACTTTTATCACAACATATAAAAATCAAATAAAGAATAACAATGAATAATAATATTCCAAAATGGAACAAACTCACAGTATATTGGCTTGGTGTACCAGATCACGTTAGGCTCACCACTGAAGTATACGACGGATATTTTAGTTTTACAACTAGATACCAGTAGCACCTTCTATATTCGATCATTTCCAGTCAAATAGAAACCATAAGTCAGAAGAGAAGAGACAGGAAAGATATATTGGTAACGTATCAAATATACCTTTCCTGTTTCTGCTCGTCTGACTTATGGTTTCTATTTGACTGGAAATGATCGAATATAAAAGGTGCTACTGGTAACTAGTTGTAAAACTAAAATATCCGTCGCATACTTCGGTGGTGAGCCCAACAAGATATGGTACACCAAGCCAATGTAGCTGTAAATAATTCCCTAAAATCAGTAGCTCATTAAGTGTTCGACATTGGATGCTGACCATGTTGTTTAAGTGGACTTGTTTAACTGAAGGCTTTCGGTCATGCATCCGCACCAGATCACGTTTCAATACTGCGTGGGACACAGCTCCTACGTTTCATTAGCCAGTTCATAGAAAAGGTCCTCGATATATTTTTAACGTATCAAATATATCTTTCCTGTCTCTTCTCGTCTGACTTCTGATTTCTATCTGACTGGGAACGATCGAACATAGAAGGTGCTACTGGTAACTAGTTGTAAAACTAGAATATCCGTCGTATACTTCAATAGATAGATACTTAACATAAATATGTGCTACCTTCACATACAAATATGTTCACACTGGCACTATATTAAAAGTGTGAACATGAAAATGGTTGCTGCTTTATCTTGTGAGAATGTTTGACAATTCTTTCACATCTACGTTTTTGTAAAGATAAATTATTGTATTATTTTAGATGTTGTGCTATAGCTCTTTATGCATTTATTCACACATATATTAGTTCGTTTGGTTACCATGAAATACGTTTATTCTATTTAGCCTATAATTTGGTTTTCCGTGCCTTTCTTTATTAATGTAGCTGTAAATAATTCCCCAAAATCAATAGCTCATTAAGTGTTCGACATTGGATGCTGACCGCGTTGTTTAAGTGGACTTGTTTAGCTGAAGGCTTTCGGTCATGCATCCGCACCAGATCACGTTTCAATACTGCGTGGGACACAGCTCCTACGTTTCATTAGCCAGTTCATAGAAAAGGTCCTCGATATATTTTTAACGTATCAAATATATCTTTCCTGTCTCTTCTCGTCTGACTTCTGATTTCTATCTGACTGGGAACGATCGAACATAGAAGGTGCTACTGGTAACTAGTTGTAAAACTAGAATATCCGTCGTATACTTCAATAGATAGATACTTAACATAAATATGTGCTACCTTCACATACAAATATGTTCACACTGGCACTATATTAAAAGTGTGAACATGAAAATGGTTGCTGCTTTATCTTGTGAGAATGTTTGACAATTCTTTCACATCTACGCTTTTGTAAAGATAAATTATTGTATTATTTTAGATGTTGTGCTATAGCTCTTTATGCATTTATTCACACATATATTAGTTCGTTTGGTTACCATGAAATACGTTTATTCTATTTAGCCTATAATTTGGTTTTCCGTGCCTTTCTTTATTAATGTAGCTGTAAATAATTCCCCAAAATCAATAGCTCATTAAGTGTTCGACATTGGATGCTGACCGCGTTGTTTAAGTGGACTTGTTTAGCTGAAGGCTTTCGGTCATGCATCCGCACCAGATCACGTTTCAATACTGCGTGGGACACAGCTCCTACGTTTCATTAGCCAGTTCATAGAAAAGGTCCTCGATATATTTTTAACGTATCAAATATATCTTTCCTGTCTCTTCTCGTCTGACTTCTGATTTCTATCTGACTGGGAACGATCGAACATAGAAGGTGCTACTGGTAACTAGTTGTAAAACTAGAATATCCGTCGTATACTTCAATAGATAGATACTTAACATAAATATGTGCTACCTTCACATACAAATATGTTCACACTGGCACTATATTAAAAGTGTGAACATGAAAATGGTTGCTGCTTTATCTTGTGAGAATGTTTGACAATTCTTTCACATCTACGTTTTTGTAAAGATAAATTATTGTATTATTTTAGATGTTGTGCTATAGCTCTTTATGCATTTATTCACACATATATTAGTTCGTTTGGTTACCATGAAATACGTTTATTCTATTTAGCCTATAATTTGGTTTTCCGTGCCTTTCTTTATTAATGTAGCTGTAAATAATTCCCCAAAATCAATAGCTCATTAAGTGTTCGACATTGGATGCTGACCGCGTTGTTTAAGTGGACTTGTTTAGCTGAAGGCTTTCGGTCATGCATCCGCACCAGATCACGTTTCAATACTGCGTGGGACACAGCTCCTACGTTTCATTAGCCAGTTCATAGAAAAGGTCCTCGATATATTTTTAACGTATCAAATATATCTTTCCTGTCTCTTCTCGTCTGACTTCTGATTTCTATCTGACTGGGAACGATCGAACATAGAAGGTGCTACTGGTAACTAGTTGTAAAACTAGAATATCCGTCGTATACTTCAATAGATAGATACTTAACATAAATATGTGCTACCTTCACATACAAATATGTTCACACTGGCACTATATTAAAAGTGTGAACATGAAAATGGTTGCTGCTTTATCTTGTGAGAATGTTTGACAATTCTTTCACATCTACGTTTTTGTAAAGATAAATTATTGTATTATTTTAGATGTTGTGCTATAGCTCTTTATGCATTTATTCACACATATATTAGTTCGTTTGGTTACCATGAAATACGTTTATTCTATTTAGCCTATAATTTGGTTTTCCGTGCCTTTCTTTATTAATGTAGCTGTAAATAATTCCCCAAAATCAATAGCTCATTAAGTGTTCGACATTGGATGCTGACCGCGTTGTTTAAGTGGACTTGTTTAGCTGAAGGCTTTCGGTCATGCATCCGCACCAGATCACGTTTCAATACTGCGTGGGACACAGCTCCTACGTTTCATTAGCCAGTTCATAGAAAAGGTCCTCGATATATTTTTAACGTATCAAATATATCTTTCCTGTCTCTTCTCGTCTGACTTCTGATTTCTATCTGACTGGGAACGATCGAACATAGAAGGTGCTACTGGTAACTAGTTGTAAAACTAGAATATCCGTCGTATACTTCAATAGATAGATACTTAACATAAATATGTGCTACCTTCACATACAAATATGTTCACACTGGCACTATATTAAAAGTGTGAACATGAAAATGGTTGCTGCTTTATCTTGTGAGAATGTTTGACAATTCTTTCACATCTACGCTTTTGTAAAGATAAATTATTGTATTATTTTAGATGTTGTGCTATAGCTCTTTATGCATTTATTCACACATATATTAGTTCGTTTGGTTACCATGAAATACGTTTATTCTATTTAGCCTATAATTTGGTTTTCCGTGCCTTTCTTTATTAATGTA